CTCCCCTCCCGCGCTAGCCTAAGGGCCACCTTAGCAAAGCGCTTCCTAAGCTGCATAGCTGCACGACCTCACCCAAAACCACCACCCCGGTCGCAAACGACAGTCGTCGTTTGCGACCGATACACGACACCCCCGGGGGTATACACAGACGAGCCGGCGAAGAAAGAAGAGCGCCAGAAGAAAGGGCCCTAGCCGGCGGGGCCCAGCCAGGACAGGAGGAGGCCCCACGAACCGATCCAATCCGGCCGCGTTGGCGGTCCGGAATGACGGGGAAAGGGCCTACCTCTACGAGGCGTCCGGGCCTACAGCGATGAAGTGGGTAAAGAGCGATAATCCCGCTCGACCCCGCTCCATCCGAGGTCATTTTTCCTGCCAAGGATATTGGCGCGCGCTCGAGAGCTCAGTTGGCATCAAGGCATCGATGTGCATAGAGCTCCCCAGGGGCTTTGGTTGGGTTTCCTGGTGTACTGTTTGAAATTAAAGAATTCGTTTTATTAGGTCTGGGACCTAAGGGTAAATGACATTTTCCTGGATAGGAAAATAAGTTAAAGTTAAAAAAGGGGAAAAAGTTAAATAAGGAAAAAGAAAGTTCCTTGTAAAAAAATATAAAGGCCAAAAAGAAATACAAAGGGGAAAAAAAAAGTTGAATAAGGAAAAAGAAAGTTCCTTGTAAAAAAATAAAGGCCAAAAAGAAATACAAAGGGGAGTAAAACAAACTTGACACTCCCAGGGAAAAGATTAGCCCTAAACCTAGTAGAAAAGAGGCCATAGGCCCGAGTTTGAGGTTAGCTGGAAATAGCCTCACCCCCAAGTTATCCTAGGATAACTTAGTAAAGAATTCGGAAACTTGGTCTACATTAGAAAAAGAATTTCGATTTCGGGTTTCGCGTCTGACTATGGACCCAGAGTACATTGCGTCGTACGGCGTCGGTGGCTGCCACTCACGAGAGGAAGTGCTCACCGACTTTGGAGCTAGTGGCACACGTCCGATCGCGCCGGGGGTGGAATGTGCCACCCCCAATTTACGATTCAGAGGAGCGGCGACGTTACATCGGCGGTTATTTAATGAATAGCGGTCGGACTGCGGACTGGACGTCGAGTGCGCCGTAGCCTGCCGTTCAAAAAGGCCCCTGGCAGGAAATCTCGTTGCGCAATGTTGGATTTTTCTTGCGTCCCGTGATACCCCCGGGATTTCGGACAAGCATCTCTGAGTGTTGGTGTTTTGTTTTTATTCTATAAAGAAAAAATGGTTGAATACATGGCAAAATACAGTATATAGAATAATATATATGAAGTACTAGGTACTGAAAAATAGGTTAGTTTATGTTAGAGTGTCTTTGGCACTGGGGGGGGGGCTGTCCAACGCTGGCTGCTCCGGTAGTCCGGCTGGCGACTGGTTGGCTCTGCTGGGGGTTGGCCGACGTCCCTGGCCTCTCGTGGGGACATGGCTGCTGAGTCCTCTTGGTGGGCGGTGGAGAAATAGCGACCATCCTCACTGGACATCGCTTGCGCCGTATATCAAGGTGTCCGGGATGCTGGGCCGGTCGTTTGGTTGGACCGCCTACAGCGGGTGGTGGCTGGCCCGGGGGTTTGCTCTGCATGTGGCCTAGCACGGCTAGGGCCTGGTGTCGCCTCAGGGTAGGCTATCAGTGGACATGGAGGGCGGTCGTCATCCAGACGTTGGACCCGTCCATGGTCCGTAGGTTGCCGTCCTGGTTGGCTGGTTGGTTTTATTAGCGGGTGGTGGCTGGCTCGAGGGTTTGCATGTGGCCTAGCATGGCTAGGGCCTAGTGTCGCCTTAGGATAGGCTATCAGTGGAGATGGAGGGCGGTCGTCGTCCAGACGTTGGACCCGTCCATGGTCCGTAGGTTGCCGTCTTGGTTGCCTGGTTGGTTTTATTAGCGGATGGGGGCTGGCTCGGGGGTTTGGTCTCTGCATGTGGCCTAGCATGGCTAGGGCCTGGTGTCGCCTCAGGGTAGGCTATCAGTGGACATGGAGGGCGGTCGTCGTCCAGACGCTGGACCCGTTCATGGTCCGTAGTTTGCCGTCTTGGATGGCTGGTTGGCTTTATTAGCCGACCGGGGTGGAGACCGTCCTGGTCTTGGGCCTCGGTATAGGGTAGTCGTGGCTCTGTTGGCCGGTCGAGGTGTGGACCGTCCTGGTCCTGNCAATAAAAGCATAAGGAACCCGGTCAGGACCAGGTGATGATTCTTTAGATATTCTTAAAGCTTCTTCAAGTTCAGTCATGGAAAAAAAGGCATTGTAATCCAGAGTCTGACTTGTATGGAAATTTAATTGTTGTTCTTCCTGGACATTCTTATTATTTAGAAAAGTACTATCATAGTTTTGGGCATTACTTGTTAATTCAAACTGTGTAGCTAAAATCTCTGCAATATCTGATGCTGAAGAGATTATGCTGTCATTAACATGCAAAGATGTTAGCACTGGTGGAGGTCTTGAACCCGATATTGCTCTAATTTTACGCCATATTTCTGATGTTGACGTCTGACTTGTCATTGACCCTACGTAGTTATTCCAAGATGAACGCTTGCTTTCCAGGATCGTGCGTCGAGCCTGGGCCCGAGACTTCTTAAACAGTATTAGATTTTCAGAAGTAGGGTATTTACGAAACCGATTGAACGCTCGTTTCTTTTTTACAATAGCATCTTTAACTTGTTCATTCCACCACGGAACCGTTTTCTTTAGTGATCTTCCGCTGCTACAGGGTACAGCTCTTTTAGGAGCCTCTATCATATTTTGCGTAAACCTACTGATATCGTTTTCAGTTGAGCCGCTAAGGGTTATATTATTAATATTCTGTTCGAATATGCCCCAATCTGCGCGAGAAAGTTGCCATCTTATTGGTGCACTAATATTTGAGCTAATTATTCCCGTGTCAATTAAGATAGGAAAATGATCACTTCCATAGAGATGATCCATAGTTTGCCACGTTAAACGAGCAGCAAGCTGAGAAGAAGCAATTGACAGATCTATAACTGAAAAGCTAGACGATCTTGAATTAAAGTATGTGGGGGTTCCCGTATTAAGCAAAACTAAATTTTCATTGGCTAGAAGTTGTTCAACTAANATTTGCCATCTTATTGGTGCACTAATATTTGAGCTAATTATTCCCGTGTCAATTAAGATAGGAAAATGATCACTTCCATAGAGATGATCCATAGTTTGCCACGTTAAACGAGCAGCAAGCTGAGAAGAAGCAATTGACAGATCTATAACTGAAAAGCTAGACGATCTTGAATTAAAGTATGTGGGGGTTCCCGTATTAAGCAAAACTAAATTTTCATTGGCTAGAAGTTGTTCAACTAAAAGGCCACGAGCATCTCTGAAATTAGAGCCCCACAATGGATTGTGGGAGTTAAAATCGCCTAATAAAAGAAAAGGAGAAGGCAGTTGACCAATTAATTCCGAGATATCATTCATTTGCCAATCGAAGCGCGGTAGGTAAATATTGCATATTGTCAACGTTAATGGAGAAGTAATACGAATCGCTACGGCCTGTAAATTAGTGTTTAGGTTAATATGTGTACAGTTAAAATTTTGTTTTACAAGGATAGCTACTCCTCCTTTTGCTCTTAGGTCCGGTGGATCATCTTTCCGAAATACATGATAACCTCTAAGCGAGTAGGGCTGTTGCGGTAAGAAATGAGTTTCTTGCAAGCAAACACAAGACGGTGTCACTTCAGATAATATCATTTTTAATTCACAGTAATGGCGTATACACCCATTGCAATTCCATTGTAGTATGGTATGATTATCCATTTTGAATATATTTGGATTAGTTTGAAAATAGACAAAAACTAAATATTTTAAAATATGAATATTAAATAAGTGGATTAGAATAAGCGTATACGAAGACATTATATCATAGATAACATAATGTAATAGTGTATAATAAAAAATAACATAAGTAAAAAATTACAAATACTAACAACTAACTGTTAACCAGGTTTATGAACTTGAACTACAGTTTTTCTTTTCCTTCCTTTAGTCCAGCCTCTTTTCTTGGGCTGACTCGAAGCTGTTGAGTTAGATATTGCATCGCTGATTTCAGAGTCTACGTCAATATTCTCTTCAGAACTAGCTCTCTTTTTCCTTTTCTCCGTCAACGCAGCTCGCGGCGGTCCCATGTCCCTATTTATCATTTTGTCAGTTGCTGTTTCGGAACTAACTCTTTCAGTTTCTCGCATACTTTCCCTAATTTTATCTCCAACTATTTGACGTAGTTCTGGCATTATTTCTTGGATTGCAATTTTGATTGCGTTTTCATTACTTGCAACTTGTGCGTAAGTAAGACTTGAGTTGTTAATCGGAGCTATTCTCTTTTTAGCGTCTTGGTAACTCAGTTTTTCCAACACCTTTACTTGTTGTATAGTCCTTTCTTCTCTCATTTTCGGACAGTCTTTGAATGTCGCGAGGTGCATGCCACCACAGTTAACGCATATTGGCTCTACACAAGGTTGTTCAGAGTGAGGAGGTTTTCCACAAGCACAAACAGTTTCATTAGGACATTTAGCATTTATGTGACCGAATCGTTGACAGTTGAAACATCTCAAGGGACTAGGAATATACGGTCGAACTTTTAGAACATAAAAAGCCACCTTAATTTCAGATGGAAGTGTTGGCTTATTAAACGTTAAAATGTGATTAGGAGTGTCTATCATTATCCCATCTCTCCTTGTTTTTATTCTTCGAACATCTATTACACCTTCTGCTAATAAACTTTCCTTCATTTCCTCAACTGAACAATTTAATAGATCCCGACAATAGATTACACCTTTTGAGGTATTTAGGGTTCTGTGTGGTGTTACAGTTACATGATAGTCTCCCATCTTTTCTAAGGCTAAAAGCCTCCTAGATTGTTGAATAGACACAGTTTCAATGAACAATCCTTCTTTAATTTTCTTCACATTCTTTAAATTACCAACCAAACCATTCAAAGCTTTTGAAATAACAAATGGACTCACTTTATCAAAGTTACCTTCATCTACTCTTCTCACTATCAGGAACCGGGGTGTTGATGCCACCTTTTCCCGATCAGTATTTGTTATGGCGGTATCTCTACGTGGGCCAGCGCCACCATGACCACCGGTATCCACGGACGTCTGTAACATGTCCGTTGCAAGTCCAGCGTCTCGACCTGCAGTGGAGACTGTTTTACGTCGAGTGTCCAACGACGTTCCCGATGCGACTCTGTCTGTCATTTCCCCATTTTCCCCCCTTTGTCGCAGGGGGCACACGCCTCTTTTACGTGGAGGGCACGGCCTCCGTTAGGGACTCACTAACGTGGAGTCATTCATCCCCTCGGCACGGTGCGGCATAACACCTTAGGATTCCGGGGAATATGAGTAAAAGGAACAAGGATAAGGTAAGTAATATGGGATCATGAAGGATGGGAGATGAAAGGAAAGGGTGAAGGTAAGATAGGAAAATCGGTTTTAGGACAGATGCCCCACTTAGTCGCCTTTTACGACAGGCAGGGGGTTCCCTGGGCCTATTCTATCCCCGAGCCCAGAGGGGAAATTATTATTATTATTATTATTATTATTATTATTATTATTATTTTTATTATTATTATTATTATTATTATTATTATTATTATTATTATTATTATTATTATTA